AGTCAGAAATGTTCTGATCCGGGTGACGTTGGCTCTCAGTCACTGTGTGATGTCACTAAGAACCAGAGCACAGTCTGTGTGCTGCAGCTCTGTGCTGCTTCAGGTCTCGTGGTGGTTTGCTGCCATCTGCTGGTCACTTTTCAACAAACAGCTTTATTTCTGACAAACCAGTGAATGAAGTAAATAAGCAATTATGAATTAAATGAAAATATTTCAATAAACGACATTAATAATCGTTATGTGTATAATTTAGAGCTGAGTGGGGAGTGATGGCCTAGAGGTTCCATCGGTTCAATCCCCACAGACTGCACTCTGGGCCCCTGAGTCAGACCCGTAACCCCACACTGCTCCCCAGCGCCGCACGGTGGCAGCCCACTGCTCCCCAAGGGGAGGGGTTCAATGCAGAGAGGGAATTTCTCCAATCGTGGGAAAATAAAGGGATTTCCATTTTTTATTTTTTGTAAAGCAGTGAAGCTTGTTTGACCAGAGCCTTCATCCAGAACACATCTTCTCAGTGGTGAGTCTAACTGGGTCATTGGATCTGAACCTGAGGTTTCACGACCCATTAAGCCGAGGAGCAGAAAATTGAAGAGAAACAGCTTCTATGTAATCTGCTTCTACATGCTAAGCTGTGGGTTCTGTGGAGCGTGACTCGGGTGGGACTCTCCGGGCTCAGCGTTGGAACTCACCACTCTGCGGACTCGGCTCTTGCAGTCGATGTGCAGGTCCTGGTGTTTCTGCAGTGCAGCTTCTAGAGCCTTCTTCAGACTCAGCGCTCTCCTCAGCAGCTGTGGCTCGGCGTGGGCCTTGGTGAAGACCTGCGGAGGATGAGGAAGATGATGAAGGAGCAGAACATCCACCCGGTTACTATAGAACCGCAGCGGTTCCGTTTCATGGTGTGGATGGTAAAATGGTTTCCAGGGCAACTGTTCATTGATGCCGTTGTCATGGCGGCGCCATGTTTACAGGTTCTGACTGTATCAGTTCTTGCAGAACCACCTTTAACGGCTCTCCAGCTGAAACTTCCGGGTCAGAGGAGTCGGTTCTGGCAGAACTCCCTCTCCTCCAGAAGGAGGAGTTTCTCTGGGCATCATGCGTTGCCATGGTGATCTGATGGATCAAGGTCTGGACTCTGACGTTAGCTTTGCTAGGCTGACCTGAGGGGAGGCCCGTGTGTACTGACCCGAACCCAGCCCTGCACGGCGGGGAGGTGCCTGCTGCTGATCAGCCTGTGGAGCTCCATCATGGTGGACACCAGCGGCTCGTTGTCCTCCGTCTCCTTCAGACGAACAACTGAGGGAGGAAGACAGAGACAAATATCAGCTGCGTCCGGATGGTCCAGATGTTCTGATCGGATCAGAACCCACCAGGACTGAGGCTGACGTCCAGGCTGTAGGTGTGAGAGATGAGCCCGGAGCTCCTGATGAACGAGTCTTCATCAACAGACTCTTCCTCGCTGCTTTCCTCTGCTCCTCCTCCTCCATCCTTCCTCCTGCCCTCGTCTTCCTCACTGCTTTCCTCTGCTCCTCCTCCTCCCTCCTTCCTCCTGCCCTCGTCTTCCTCTGCTCCTCCTCCTCCCTCCTTCCTCCTGCCCTCGTCTTCCTCTGCTC